AAAAAAAAAAAAAAAAAAAAACTCAATGACTCACCTCAAGTACATACCCAAGTTTTTGTACGTTCTTCATCACAGTAATCAACATTAATGATTGTGGATCGTTCTCCATGCTTCCCAAGATCTGGTATAGGTGAAAAATATTAGGAAAAATAAAATTGGTATTTGACTTAATCCCTCTATGAATTCAGATCCAGATACTGTTCCTATGCAGTCCAGAGTAAAATGGGAAGCCATATATATAAACCGACTTTTTATGTTATCTTATCTCTGAGCTCATCACTTGGTTTTCACCATTACATGGATATGCTTTTCAATCTGAACTTGATGACAAGCAAGTTGATAATTAATCATAGTCATAGAAACCCAATTATTGAACAGAAAGAGCACAAGAAAGAGACCATTTGCTCTCTACCACAAGGACTAAAATTCTAAATACATCACAGATTGATAGAAATGATCATGTTGATATAATTAAACATGAACGAGTATATAATTCAAGATTAAATTTCATTGAAGAATCAGTACCAGTCGGTGATCTTTTTTTTTAATAATAATAATAATAATAATAAAAAGTATTGGGCAATAGTGATATTATAAGGCGAAATGTTGCTCAAAGCTTTTTGCCTCCTCCTCGGCTTGTCTTCTTAAACCTTCTTATGCTTACTAAATTTGGGATCCTTTTTCTTTTTTAAACTCTAGTTCCAAACGTTGGCCTCCGTTCATTTACACTGTCTGGCGAACCTCATTTCTTATTTTTTGAAAGTAACTCAAAGATTCTGAATACAAACATCATTTGATAATCCAAAGCACTGTGAAAACTGTAGTGTTATTACAACTATAGGCATTCCTGAACTGTAACTAGCCTCCATGAACAATAAGATTTATCCTTTCAATGTTTTCATAAAATTTGTTCGTCACAAATTACATAGATCCGTAGAACTTGAGGTCATCCTCCAAGTGGATAATGATTATGAACCTATCAGTACCATTGGGTGGTGATACAGAATCCAAATAAATGGTCGTTAGCTAATCTACTTCACACAATTGCTGTGGATTCATACAAATAAACATGACATCGGAGTTCGCTTATCGTTTCGGGATAGTGAAGGGGGGCGGGGATGGAAGGTTCCAGCTGATAGGAATCTAGAGCACTAACTCCCAAACTGGCTTTAATAAATCTTCCATTCATGGGGGACTTGAGTGTTTATGCACATTGTGAATAAGAAACGCAATCAAATAATGGCATAAGCTAAGTACTGACAATCAGTAACTTGAACGCAAGTAGTTTCCAATATGAATAAATGAAAAAACAAAACAAAAACTCTGGAAGAACTCACTAGAGCAAGTCTCGGTGCACGAACGCCACGGCGATCCTCCTTCCGCACCTCGTCGAGCCCATCACCTTCCACCAGCCTCCTGGAAATCCTCCCTGGCACAAACTTCAGCGAGCTCCCAAACTTAATACGCTCCATAAGCCACCGCTCCTTTTCACTTCCAGAGCGAGACATCAAGCTAATCGAGTTCTGCAACAACATAGTCCCGGTAACAAATCCGAATACCGCGAAAACGACAACAGAGTAGAAAAGCGTTTGCCCTCTAGCCGGAAGCCACCAGAACAATCCCTTGCGATTGATCCGACACTGATGAGATCGGGAACGACAGGCTGCATGATCCAATGAGTCCTTGGCTCGCAAACGGAAGTGACCGGAATTCCGCTTGATAGGAAAACGATCACGAATCGAGTGAGTAACGGGGACGGCATTTCCACTCCCATTATCATCAATCTCTGAAGATGAACTTCGTTTCATTCAGATGATTCTATGCTCTGATTTACCTCGCAGAACGTAATGGAAAACGGTTTAGCATGGATTGACGAGAAGAAATGACGAATGGCAGATGAGATTTTGTGAACCTCAGATGTGAATTGCTCTCACTGCCATTTCATGGCTTCATTTCCAAGAAGAAATTACACAAAAGAACATATTCCAAGTCGGCTAATTTTCCACAAAATAATAATAAAAAATAAATTACTTTCTTTAAAATCATATTTTCCGAAGCCCTTCAAATATTCTTTATTTTTTAAATTATTTTACTGCAACTAACCATATTACATATCGTCATTAGTCTCACGTGTAACGACTCAGATTCACAGCTAGTAGATATTGTCCTCTTAAGCTTCCCCTCAAGGCTTTAAAACGCGTCTGCTAGAAGAAGGTTTCCACACCTTTTTGGTGGTTTGTTCTCCTCCCAACTAATGTGAGACATCACAATCCACCCCCTTCGGGGCCAACGTCCTCGTTGGCACTTTTTCCTTCCTTTGATCGATGTGGGACCGCTCCCAAATCCACCCCCTTTGGGGCCTAGCGTCCTTACTGGCACATCGCCTCGTGTCTACCCCCTTCGGGGAATAGCGAGAAGACTGGCACATCGTCTGGTGTCTAATTCTGATACCATTTGTAACGACTCAAGCCCACCGCTAGCAGGTATTGTCCTCTTTGGCCTTTCTCTTTCATGCTTCCCCTAAAGGCTTTAAAATGCGTCTACTCAGAGAAGGTTTCCACACCATTTGAGTGGTTTGTTCTCTTCCCCAACCAATGTGTGACATCACATCACAGTTTTTAAACGCGTCGGTTATGGAGAAGTTGGAGAGGGTTCCACATTTCTTATAAGGGTGTAGAAACCTCTCCCTAATAAATGTGGTTTAAAACCGTGAAACTAACAACGATATGTAACGAGTCAACCCAAACAAAATCTGCTAATTGTCGGCTTTGACTATTACAAAGGGTAAACAATGAGTTACGGGAAGGCCCAAATAAGACAGTATGGTGCGTAACTCCGAGAGACGCCTTTAAAACTGTGAGGCTGATAATGATATATAACGGGTCAAAGTGGATAATATCGGTTAGCGATGGACTTGGAATATATATACACGCGGATTGGGCCATAGAAGAGGCCCATTAAGGTTGGACGGCCCAATCCACCCAAGAGCAACAACAATGGGACATATATTTCAACGTAATTACATTCATCTCTTAAACCTGCCATTCCCGCCCCCCTGGCCATTCGCGTTGGAAGTTTGTGAACGTCGCAGTGGCTCACCATAACTCGTCCGTAGGGTTTTAGAGCTCTTCATTTCTCTTTCTCCTTTTATCGTTTTCGTTTTCATTTTCGTTTTCATTTTCATTTTCATTTTTGCGCTCTCTCTCGGATTGCAGGTAAAGTTCTTTCAGTTTTTGCATCATTGTCTTGCTTTTACACTGCGATTCTATCACTGTTGGCTCCGCCCCCTTCCATGGCGATCATTTCTCCTGTATAAGTGTATCATCTGCTCTCATGAGTGTCATAGTTTCATGCAGTGTTAGATTTTGTCCTTTGGGTTTGTTATCTGGATTGCACTTATCGGCATCTTTCTCCAGTTCTGCTATAGCCTCTGGTTCTTGGAGAATTGTTGGTTTCATGTGCCGTTGACGTGTATTTGGGTTTGCTCGTCGTGGTTAAGGATGTGGTGTTTTGATTGTTCCCTGGCTTTGATCCTAATTTTAGTTTTTGTCCGAGATTCTAATTTTTGAACTGTTCGTCTCGATAATATTGCAATTGCGAGTGATTTTGGCAGAACGGACAATGTGTATTTGTAGATATGGTGGAACAGTGTTTTTGACCTATGGAACACTTGGTTCTTGAACTCTTCTTGAGTCCAGGATCGTTATCTTGGTTAGGTTTGTTTGTTTCCCTGCGCATATATGCAGACGCGTTGTACTTAGTCTTCAACTTAAAGTCAATTCGTTAGAGTTCTGTTAATTTATCATTGTTAGTCTTTCCTGGCTCCAGTTGTATTGTTTAAGCTTTTCATTCAACGGTAGTGGTGTTAACCACTCGGGGTTGGCGGGGTCGTATTCGAATGGCTGAAGAAGAAGTAAAGGGGACTAATTGGTCAGCTACCTAGACCCACAAGTTTTCTTGACTACCAAATATAGAGAGTTAGGCAGTTATCGTGAGATTACTTGCTGCAAGCAGCAGTTTATTCATTTTCATTTATGATCTTCGACTTCAAATAATTGGTTACGATAACTTGCTGCAAGCAGCAGTTTATTCATTTTCATTTATGATCTTTGACTTCAAATAATTGGTTACGATAACTTGCTGCAAGCAGCAGTTTATTCATTTTCATTTATGATCTTTGACTTCAAATAATTGGTAGCTCAAAAAGTGGATAATCGAACGTGCTATATCAGAATTTGTGATCAGGACTAAAGTTGGCTTCTCGTATACATATGTGATATCAATCTTGTTAAAATTCAGAGTTGAGAGACATTAAGCAATCACTCCACATGATGCAGGTTGTTCATAATAATTTCTAAGTTCTAAAAGGGAAGCCAGCCTGTTTCTGTAGTATCTGTTAACTGATCTTGTTATTCCATTTGTGAAATTCCAGTGGCTCTTATCACATCCAATTCATTCTGGATCAAACTTCATATGAACAGGGTCATCTGATTACTGCTCTGTTATCTTGTAGGTTTGTGCTATAGGAAGTGTTGAATTTTTTGGATTTCATGCATGCTATAAAGGGTGGGTGGATAGGGCGTCCTCTTGCCCTAGCCAAAAGCAATGAGTCCGAAGGGAGGAAGACTAGAATTCGGCGTTCAAAGGAGGAAAGGAAGGCAATGGTTGAAGTCTTCATAAAAAAGTAACCATACAATGGTTTAAATTTTAAGTCATATTTTTGCTTCTACTGATCTATAGAACGCATGGATCGTTTAGTTCATCAAATTATTAATTGTCCCTGCATGATGATATTTCACCTACAATGGTTTACTTGGGTTGTTCGTGTTTAAACATGGATCAATGATGTTTGGCACTCGTTCTTGGTTTTGCTTATGACACTGTTTTCTAGTCGAGCTTTTGGATAGTAACCTATTTTTGCTAATGACTAAATCTAGATAGTGTAATTTATTTAATTAGTAAAAATATGAAATAGGATCATAACATGTTGCTTTGCAGGTATCAGGAATCAAATAATGGGAGCTTCCCCTCGCTCAACCTTACTCACAAGGAAGTTGGTGGATCTTTCTATACAGTGCGAGAGATTGTACGTGATATAATCCAAGAAAATAGAGTTCTTGGTCCCGGAAAGTGGTTATTAGAAGAGCACAGCACTGATCATTCACTTGAAGAGAATCCACTCCACTCGATTGCTATTGAACCTCAATCTCCTTTAACGATATCATCAGAGGAAGTTGATTCTCCAGTCAACTACAACCAATACATAAATGAAGAGCCAATCTTCGTGTCAGATGAGCAATGCACTTCAACAAATATTCAGGGATCACAGAATGTGACAGTAATTAATGGCAGCCCGGCAGATATGAGTGACAAGGATTCTGATGAACTCAAGAAAGTAGAGGAAGTGGTGAGAGAGGAATCAGGAATGCCATTTAATCATGTAACTCCTTTTACAACAGATGTCGTGGTAGAGACATTCCCATTGAATTCGATTTCTTGGGCCATCGATAGTTCAGATGTAAGATCTGAGACATCGATTTCAACCAGCGCCTCAGAAAAGCAACCGAGTCATACCATGGAGTTAGGATCAGATGTTGGCTTGGTTAACATTAAAGGTAATAATTCCACGGCTTCTGGTTATGTAGTCAAGAAAGCAGATGGAAATTGTGCTGCTCCATTATCAGAAACAAAGTCTGATTTGGTGGAGGTAGCACAAATTGTTGAAACCTCTAATGGATCACCTAGGAAAGAAGGTAGCATATATGAAGTTGAGGGTCCTGATACTCCAATACCTGTAATCTCTGAACAAGGCCAGAAATCTAGTGAAACCAAGGTGAGTGTTCTACTTTTTTTAAATTTCTGGTGTATTGGTACAACTTCTTAGAGTTGACTTTCAGATTATGACTGATTGTGGGGACAAAAGCAATTTTACTCGAGTCGATCGAGGCCAGTTGAAACTTTTGATTATGACTGATCGTGGATGACGTTTGGATGTTCATATTTGCTTGTTTCCATGTTTTTGAAAGCCTAATTTGAATCTGAACCTTTTGCAGGCTCCTAATGCTTCTCCAAGTGTTACCAAGAATCTCAACAAGGCATTCAGCAATAGCTTTGACCAGACCTCAAAAACCAAAGAGGAGACAGGGATCGAAAATGAAGTAGAGGCAGAACAGAATGGTGGCTCAACATTAAATAGAATCAATCTGTAAGAACATCCAGTGCCCCCTAGTCTTCTTCACAATCCAAATTAGTCAAACATTTAACATGGTTATGGAATAGTTCAACCACATATTCATCTTCCACGCGTTTTTTTTCAGTGAATCATGGGAAGGGATGTCCAAAAATTCTTCGAAACCCAAAAACAACCCGCTTTTGGAAATCTTTAAAGCATTCATCGGTGCATTCGTGAAGTTTTGGTCCGAGTAAGTTCTATGATTGTTAGGTAGACAAGTAGAGAGGAGTTATTTTCCTACCACAGAACCTGTCCGTCTCCGTACCAAGTTGCAGTCGGTTTCCCCGTTCGCTCGAGTCGATTCCATCCTCGATGTTTATGAGTTAGGAAACTGGATATTACTGGATGTGGGTTGGCACTTCTGTATTCTGCAGTAAGAAAGAAGGTTTAGGAGTAGTAGGCATATCCCACCCCTCAGTTGCAAGGTAAGTAAAAGCTTGTGTGTTTCCTTTTACTGTAACCATGAGCTATGATGCCCCATCCCCAATGATTTTCTTCCAGATATGAAGCTTTCCTATTCCTTTTTCACAACCATATGATACGAAAAAGGAATTTATATCTACATATTCTTTCGACTCAAATCAAACCGAGTATATTTGTTACTCTTTTAAAAGTTAATAGTTTCATTTTGAGCTAAAAAAAAATTAATTTTTTATTGTTGTGTATAATTTATTATTTTTTAAAAAAAATAAGGATTATGAGAGAAAATAAGCATAAATTTGTAAAAAAGAAAAAAGTAAGAAATTTGGAAAAAGAAAAAAAAAACAACATTATTATATAGACAAATTTAGACTCAATGAATGGAATTAATTAAAAGATGAAAATTATTGTTTTTTAATAAATGGGTTGGTCTCTCCGGAAATTTTATCCTCAATTATTATATTTTATCCATTCTTCTATTTGGGGTATAAAATATTTATACATTGGATAATGTTTTTTTATTTCAGATTTATGAATAATGTTACTTTTATTTAATATTTATTTTTCCTTTTCTTTTATTGGATATTTATAATAATTTTGAAAGGATCCAGAAATATGGGTTTGTCCCATGTAGTTTATATATAGAACAAGAAACTTTTAAGTTATGGAATTTAAATTAGATTACTTTTTCATTTATATCTTAATAAAGCTTATAAGAATCTAATCATTCATTCATATATATCAGATAAAATGGCATGCAAATAATTAACATTATCATCAGAGCAATAAATCCAAATTATTCTTAATGACTTCAAAATATAGCTCCAATAACATACATGAACTATATTTTCACTAAATACCATGAAGAAATAATTTACATGCACTCATTCAACTTGCTAAGAATCAAAATTTTACTAAAGCCATATCCTGATGAATGTGTCTTGGCTTGGCAAACAAGAGCATAAACAGCCTAAAATAGTGTTCCTAGACTCCTAGTACACAAACTCTTGCGGATTCAAGAGTCCTATGCGAATGTCGAGGGAAATAGAACTTCACGAGTCGAAAATCGGGGCATAAATTTTGAATATGAATCTCAGATCTCACCTGTTCCAAGAGGTTGCCTTGATGTATCACCTGAGGCCCATGCTTGATAGTCCTTCACAAGCTGCACGACACAATCATGCCACTCAAGGATTTGTCCATATAACACAATAGTAAAGATAGATAGAATAGACGACAATATATCAGTATAAAGGTGCTGACAAGATCAGTTAGAAGTGTGATGAAATGAAATAATTTGTACGAGTTCATGATATGATGCAACGGGTTTAGGATTACGCCACATCCATAGCCAATCATCAAGCAAAATTCATCCCTAGAGTTGAGAGAAAATGTAACAGCCCAAACCCACCGTTAGCAGATATTGTCCTCTCTAGGCTTCTCCTTTCGAGCTCCCCTCAAGGTTTTTAAAATGCGTCTACTAGAGAGAAGTTTCTACCCCATTATAAAGAATGCTAAGTTCCCTTCTCAAACTCAGGTAAGATCTCACAAAAAAACTCTATAAGAACCAAAGTTTTATATTCAAAACGATGCAAAAGCTCTATATTGCAACTCTAAAGTGGATATTTACAGCCTTATAAAAAAATAAAAAATAAAAAAAAAAAGTCAGATAACTAGTCAATAAAAAAATTCTATTAACATGAAAATTAACAACTAAGCGACTATTAACTACATTATACAAATTTCTAATAATTCACCTACATCATTCACCCCATGCTCGGCATTTAAATTATAAAGAACAAAATTCAGATTTGAAGGCCATATATTGTAAATTTCCACTTAAAGTTTTTCTACTTCCTGCAGATTACAAATAATGCACACATAAATATCATTAAAGTTAATAAGAGGATTTGCACATGCAGAGAGCTGGAGAAATAAGAACAGGTACTAAAATCAAGCAAACACAAGCAACATGTTCATTATTCAGTACAAAAGGTTTTCCATAAAACCTGGGCTGTGAAGCGGGGAAGCATAAGCTTCAGTATTTGTTCCAGTACTTGGGTCCCAGCTGATTCAATTGCTTGTACAGGAATTGCACGAAAGGCGAAAGGAATCTCGATGTTAACCTGGATTTCCCAGAACAAGGCAATTATTTTTTTTGTACAGGTAAATGAAAGCATATTCTTCCAGTGATAGAGCTGTTGAATAAAATTGCCACTACCTCAATGACAGTGTCCGATGTGAGTTTCTGCAAGGGTGAGCTGCCTCGATTGACATCATAAGATATCTGGTTCACCATATTAGCTGCATTCCGACACCAAATCAATGTCAAAGCAGCCCTGAAAAAAGCATAAACCAAAAACTCAACATGATGAAAGGGCTGCTCTTCCAGCAAAACAACTTAGAACTCACGGAGAGCAGCAATACTATAAGGATGCAATCTAAAGCCAAAAAATAAAAATGCCATTACATAACTCTTGCTTTACCATACTTGATGCTAATTACTTGGATAGGCCCAGAAAGTTGCTCTTCGACTTATCACTCGGGCACGTGGCAATATCAGACTAGTTAAAATTCCTCAGAAAAAGGGGGGAAGTTCTTCATTATGCAGAAGAAGATGGAGTTATGCTGACAAAAGATGATATTCAATGAACAGTCTAATAACTCCAAATCCTTTATTCTTGCACTTGATTTCTAGGAAAAAGTAAACCAAGAAATGAGAACTAATTCTTCTTATAAGCTATACAACATATCTGATTATGTTTCGAAGTGATGATATGCAATTCACAATTAAAAGTGTGAAATCAAACATGAAAACGATTTTGAACGAAATGCATGTTTTGGAGTGGTTTTCACATTCACAAACATGCCTTAAATCCATTTCTACACACTAGTCAAGCATAATTTAGATTCTCACCATCAAATTTATCATTCTGTGCAACCACGATTGGCGAGCCCTCAAGCTGAATGTCATTTAGATGTGTCAAAATCAGAACATTTCCAGAAAACTTAAGAAACGAAACAGAAACGCAAATTTATCCAGACCTTACACGACAGAAGCTTGATGCAACAGCCATTAGGCTGCACTTCAACTCGAACAATCAAAACAGGGCAAACCTCAAAAGCAAAGAACTTAAATCTATAAACATAGCACCTAAAGGTGCAATCATCAATCCGCTCAATCCTCTCCGCATCCAACACCGAGTACTGACTAGCCGGCAAACTCATATACTCATCTACACCATCCAAACACAAAATCCCTCAAAAATCAAAAAAACCAAAAAACACATTACAAAGAATCAAAAGTTCATCTCAAAATCCAAAAATGCTTCTAACATTACTTAGAGGCCGCGCCAGCTGCCGAACAGTGACGGACTCGCTCCTCCGGGCTACGAAGCGCGCTTTCGGATTGGAATTCGCGGAGATTCGAAGCGAAGGCCTGGGAGAATCATCCGCAGAGGAGGCAAGTATAACGAATGGTCTACGAGTGATGGAAAAAGAAGTTCTAGGGCTTCTAGAGTGGAGTGAAATGGAAGTCGGCGAGCAAGAACTCAACGCCATTGAAGCGTTCGAGAAATTTGCAGAGAGGAAGTGGAATGGATATCGATGTTTGAGGCTTTCCGTGAGAGATGGATAAGAGGATGGTAAATGGCGCAGCTGTTATAAATATAGCCATTAATTAATTAATTAATTATTTTATTTATTTATTTATTTATGTGTTGTCCTTTTAATTATCTAAAATTATAAATATATAATTTTTTAAATTGTTAAACAAAACTAACATAATTTTTAAAAAATTTATTATTATTTATTACAACTTTATTTACCTCTATGATTATTCTTTTAATTATTTAATTTCTAACAAAATTTTAATTTAATTTTTTTAAATAAATAAATAAATAAATAAATATATATATATATATATATTAGCGTTACTTGAATTTAAAATATTTATAATCCCAAGAGAAATGTCTCAACTAGATCGACTCGACCCGTAAACACTTCCCGACAATACTAACCTCTCGTTAGAGGGTTAGTTGAAACTCAAGTAGCTAAGTTCAAAGAAAACGATAGAAGCGAGAGTGCTAGCAATGCAACCCCATTTGAAAGCGTTAATGACACAACCCTGATTTGGTTTGTAACGGTTTTTAAGATCCATCCTTCGTTATGAAATGAGACCTCGGGATGTCGACATATTCATTAAACTTTCTTTTTATTTTGAATTTGTTTTAATAAAAATATAGAAACTAAATTAAAATAAAATGTAAGGTATATGATTAAGACGGTAATTTAACCCTAATAATAATATGGTGTATAAGGTGACTCTACATTTAGAGAACTTTACTACAACGTGACGTAATATTTAACGATGTAAATATGCACCATGCAATGCAGCCTCACCACTAACGGCCTTCGATGGAAGTCGTCAATGGCACCGCCGCCTTTATTCTTGTACTTGTTCTTTAATCGGACACCTAAAGCAACAAACTACTACAATATTGTGACCCGACGAAATGTTATTTCTATCGAAGATTTGTTTTCACGGCGAAATCTCTTTCCATCCTCTGCGTCCGGAGCCATAGCCCGACCCGTATCTTGAACCATACCCGGAGCCACTCCCAGTGGAACCTCCGCCTCTGCCCCTGCCCCCGCCCCCGCCTCCTCCTCTTCCTCCTCCTCCTCCACCTCCTCTACCGCTCCCACTTCCAAATCCGCTTCCGCTACCGTATCCCGAGCCGTAGCCTGATCCATTTCCACCTCCGGAGCCTCCGCCTCCGCCTCCCCCTCCTCCTCTACCCCCGCCACCTCCGCCCCCGCTTCCTCTTCCAAACCCTGAGCCGCTCCCTGATCCGAATCCGGAACTGGATCCAGTCCCACCACCACCTCCACCTCCACCACCGCTTCCTCCACCGCCGCCTCTACCGAACACTCCATCGCCATCTCCCTCACCGTATCCTTCGCCTCCACCCGACCCAAAACCAGAGCCGTAACCCGAACCCAGAAATAGTCCTCCTCCTCCTCCACCACCTCCCCCGCCTCCTCCTTCACCGAAAGCTCCTCTCGGCGATCGGGCAGCAAAGGCGAAGTCCACAAGAAACAAAGCCAACAAGGCAACCCCTACCGCTCTGCTGCACGCCATTTTGAACCTTCTCAAATCTTAAATGTAAATAATTTTTGAAATGTTCCGTGAAGAAATTTGCAACGAGGGCTTCCCTTTATATAGCAATTTGAAAAGGTGAGCTTCTGACACGTGTACCCCTCGGAACATAGCTGATGGTTACTTATTTTTGGTGGTGGGGCCGCCGGTGGACGGTGGTGCTGTTGGTGGCGATAATTTTAGTGGACAAAAATCTTCCCAAACATTATTAACTAATTAATTTTAAAACAATACAAACTTTCAATTAATAAATATTAGTATTTATACATGTCTTTTTTTATAATTACCATTTCGACCTTTCCACTACTGATCGAGCTAAGCCATTTACTCTCACGCTCAAAATTAGGGTTTGTTCATGTAATCTGGTAACCTAACCTATTCGAATTACTCAACCCAAATCATAAAATATTGATTTGGATTATATTGAATTCTTGAAGAACTGAAAATTCGGTTCAGCTTGTGAGTTGACATTTTTTTATCCGGTCAACTTGACCAACCGGAAAATAATGTTACAACCAAACTATATTTTAAAAAAATAATTAAAAATATTTAATATTTCTAACCGATATTAGTAAGATACTGTGACTTGTAAATATTTGATATTGATGTAATATATGTCGTAGATAAATATGATTTTTTTTAAAAAAATAAAAAAATAGTTCTTTTTTTTTTTAATCCAATTCAACTCGAAAACACTATGAACCACACCATCTTCCAATCCCTTTTTTATTTTTTTATTTTTTTGGGTTGAAAATGATTTGATAATATATTTTTTAAAAAATAAAGAAAAGAAAATTGAAACATTTGAGATATTGTCACGTGTATTCCAGAGCTTGAATCCACTCTACTATTAGCGTATAAACCTCTTTTTAATAAACTCATTTTAAAATGTAAAGTTGATTATGATACCTATCAGATAAAAACAAATAATATCTGCTAACAGTAAGAAATATATTCAAATTATTTTTTTCTTATAATACATATAATTATTATATATATATATATATTTAATTATTTTATGGATATTAATGTGAGGATATAATTGTTTAATTTGTATACCTGATGTTGTATGCAAAGTCAAAAAGGTATTTTTCAGTGGGAAATTGTAACTCATTTTCTTTATTGTTCGAGTGTCAATATACGACGTACGTTTTAAGGAATCGAGCTATCATTAAGTGGAAAATTAAAGAAGGGTATACAAAAAACGTCTTATACCTCTCAATAAACTACAAAAACGACTCAAATCCAATAAAATTAAGTTAGTTTGTTAACCGATGTCTACATAAAGGCATTAAACCGAGCCCTTCTTAAGCTTCTGCCCCAAGCAAACTCTTACTCACTGTGTATGTTTTCAATGTTACCCTTTGAGATTTGTATGCCTTTTGTTCGGACTTTTCACGTAGGGTTTTGTAAATCAACGAGTATGCCTCACTTTTTCATATATTCTTTGTGATCTCTCCAATGAAACATGAACACTTCTGTCTGAATAACATGTTCGTTTCTAACACTTTAACCACCACCAACATGAGACGTTTTACTAGCTGAATCCGTTCGTTGGGTCAAACATTTGTTAAAAAAAAAAAAAAAAAAAA